AAAGCTACTGGATCGCTGGATCGGGATCGGGCAACTGGCACATCTCGAATCATCAATCGATCATGGCTATAGGAACCGAAGAATCGTCCCTCGTCTCGTTGCCCGCGCCCACGTCTCGATAAGCAGCCGACCCTGGCGAGTTCACCCTCGTCTCCTCGCCTCGTCCCTCATCATCAGTTCGTCATTACTCATTAGATCAATCGGATAATCGGAATTCGTATTCAGGGCGACAAGCCGCTGCCTTCCTCGCCTCCTCTCTCAAATTTGAGACTCGCCGACGTCATATCATCTGATTGATCGGTGACCGACTCCCCCAACCTCCAGGGGCTTATCGAGTCCTTCTTTTCGATTAACTTTGGTTTCTCTCCTAATTCCTAATTTTCTCATTAACTATTAGCAGGGATAGTTACTTCGTTAGAGATTGATTCTTACCTTCTCAATTAAAGATCGTAGTGTATCAGTTCTATCGGACAGGACTCAAAACAAAGTGAGTTAGACGGTTCATCTAATTGCCAAACATTGACGCATGATCTTCAGCTATATAATATTCGTCTTATTATAAAGAGGTATGATTGTTTTCCCAATGAAAGTATTGCATATAGAGTTATATTGACCATTACCTGTGACAGTTGCATTGGCAGAAAGAACTTTTTTTCTAAATTGAAGCTATTGAAGTCCTATATGCGTGCTACCATGACACAACAAAGACTCAATGATTTGGCCACAGTAGCACTTGAGAGTGAATTGTTGGAGAAGATTGATTACGAGGATATCATCGAAGATTTCATTTCAAAGAATACTAAAAGAATGAGTATGTTCAAATAAATAACAACCGGGAGTTGGATAGGTATGACTTTTTTATATGTTCAATTGTTATGTAAGGCATTATATTATATACATTATAAAATTTTCCTGCAAGATATATATACATTATAATAGCTCGTCAGTTCATTTTTTGTGAGATAGAGCCCATTTTTTAGTTTCGCACAGGGCCCTGAATTTTGCCGGCCCGGCCTGCCCAAACCCCCTTGGTCATTCGGTCTACAAAGTATATCCCACTTAGCTCCATCAATACCGAGTCGAGCTCCATCAATCTGTATATATATTCTTTAACACAGGTTGGTTGCTAATAAGCTAGTAGCTGAAGACAGGATGAAATACAGTTGTAATAATATCCACATATATTTCACGAAGTAAAGTATCCACATTACCATCAGCACACTGTATGTTTTGGTCAATTATCCCACAGATATCTGTACAGTGTAAACCACACACATGTTCAACTTCATGTTTGGAACGCAGGAATTTCACGGAAATTTTGGAGGAATTTCAGGAAGCAATCCAATTCCGACAAGATTCGGAAAAAACAAATAGTGCGTTCCAAACACAGGGCCTTATAAGTCTCAAAGTTAGCCCTGGTAGTTGAGCAACATGGACAACGGAACCAAACAAAGCCCCTTGTCCTTGAGCTCTGCACATGGAGTTATACCCCTCTGGCTTTGATCCAGAAATCTCACTCCTTCCATCACCGCATCTGCATCTTCACAGTCTATTCCGTCTCTCCCGTAATAGTTGCCAATCCCAGCCCCCTTCATGCAAGAAAAACTAACGGATTATTGACAACCATGTAGGCACAAGATCCACAATTCCAAAGAAAAATATCGCTCAAGTATATAATTTATATACCATTTCAAGAACACACATATCAATTAATGAATTATTAACTGAATTACCTTGGCGAGGTCCGTAACATTGCACCTTATTTTAGGGCTGAATTCCAGCTGTGACAAAGCACTGACCTTGAAAAAAGCAAATCAAAACAGGCAAAATTAACACCAACTACATATATGTACTCCAAGGACTTGTCTAATTCTAACGAAAAAGTGAAGCCAATTCACAATTGTAGCTATACCTTAGGGCTATTGACAGGAGAACTTGCAGTATCCTCCAATGAATCATCATGATCCAGAGCCTTGAAGACTTTCTTCTTGAGCTTCTTGAGCCCCTTGTACCTATCTGCCAACGCCGCCGGAGCGAGGGAGGCGGCATCGGAGATCATAGAGCCCTCCTCCTCATCATCCTGATCAAAAGTGCAATATGAGGCTCCTTGCCTCTTCTCCTCCTCCTCGGACATCATGAAATCCACAAAGTAATCGGTCCAGGAACTCTCCTCCGGCTGAGCCTCCGCTTCACTGCAGCTGAGGACACTCTTCAAAGATGAGCTGCTAACCAGATCATCCATGGTTTGTTGTGTTGTGTGTAGGGTAAAGCAGAAGTAAAGCTGAACTACAAGCTGTGCTTCTATGAATGAAGAAGGAATAGCTTTGCAAAGAGAGAGACAGCCTGGCTTATATATACACAGGGGGGAGAGAGAGACTGAGAGAGAGAGAGAGAGAGGGAGAGAGAGAGAGGTGGTTGGGGCGTTAAAATCAACTAATTAGATGGTACTGTTTCCGTTACAGATAATCGAAGAACATTTCATACTTTGGTACCAACCTTTCAGAAGCTGGCCGGCCTAATCAATAACCTCCCTATCTTTATCTTGAGTAGCAGTATACTCACTGTTCTCTTATACAGTACACAGTACCAGCTCAATGGGTGCGTTGTGTTAGGGGAAAAATGTAATAGCACGTGGAGCCGGCACCGCTGGTTAACTCCGAAAAGCTTGGTTTACCTCCGCCTTAGCTGGAGTCGTGCCTCCGCTAGGTTTGAACAAATCCCGCACAAACCGTGGTTCAATTTTTTTTTAACGAGCTTTGCCGCTCTGAGTGGAGCTGCTGCTTGTGTTCAAACCATTTTTGAAGACCCTAGCCGGACAGCCTCCACTTTGGTGCTGGGTCTGCATCCTCCGACGTGCCATGCTTGATCGAGATTCGAGCGACCAAAAGTGTGATCCGTACCAGGAGAAAGTGTGTAAGTTAATGTGGTTGTCCAAAAGTGTTGTTTAGTTTTTGCTAAGAGAAACTTCCGGGGTTGGTATAGGTGAATGCATCATCCATGGTTTGGTGCAGGTGAATGGATCATCACCAACAACTTCCACTTCTATATGATACAGTAATTACAAACACTATTCTTCAGTAGACGAACGATCCAATGGGCTAACAGTTTCCCGAATGTCAGCAAGAATTGAGTGGCCTAAAAGGACATCAATCTCAAACCTTCCTTTTTACGGTGCCACATGTGTATGTTATTGGTACACATGTGCATGTTAGGCGAACGAGGCTTTTTGCATGGTATACGCCGTTAGGCATGGAGTACTTGGCGACCCGGTCGCGGGGTTAGTTGGTCCGGCCGTTGTTACCGTTACCGAGTGACGGGCGCGCACACGTACGCACACGCACTCACAAATTATTGGTGCGCCGCACGTCTGGGTGGGTGACGACTGACCATACATGGGGCCGACCCAGTCTTTTCTCGGAAACTTGTAATCCTACACTAGACTGGAAGCGATGATGCAATCATTGAGATTATCAAACGCGTTATATACATTCTCGCGCACAAGAAAAGGTCCCGAGGATTCCGTACCTCTCCTTTAGATTATTATACTATAATAGTAGTAGTATAAATAAACGTGGATTAATTACTAGTAAGTACGAACTGCGACACCATAATCAATCGGAAAGCTTGCTTGCACTGTACTGCTCGGGCTACGGGCGACAACGTGCAGACCAGAACATGCACGCAAAATATTCCGTATCGTGGTGCAGCGTGAGGCGTTAACGTCCGCGGCGTGTCTGCGTATGCATCTTCTGTCCGCCGCTTTGATCCACTATTCCAGTCCCTTTCATGCTCATTAAGAAACCAATGAAACCTAGTCGCAAAAAAAAAAACCCTGAAAACAGAGCTCTGATGATTGTCCAGAATTTCCATTGCCTTATTCACATACAAGTGTAGTACATTGTTTTAGCATAAACGGCAACCTCAAGATTGGTGTGCTCTATGGTTTTTCTACTAAATTCTTAGCTTTGCCAAGGTTAAGTTTTTTTTTAGTAAAATATAGCGATGCTAAGTCTCATTCACTAAGAAGATAAACCGTCCGGAAAATTGAAAGGGAAAACATAATGAAGGGAATACATTATTTGTTACAAAACATTTTTTTATAATCATAACAAAAACATTGTTTGTTACAAAACGAAGTATAAACCTAGGGGAGTCTGTATCCCAAAACATATAAACCTAGGGGAGTCTGTATCCCAAAACAAATCCTGCCTTGTTTCAAAAAGCTAAGGGAATTGCCCGGAAAATGTTAGGGAATACATTATGAGATGGCTACAGACCACACCGGAAAAAAAAGGAAACAACAGGAAAGACAAGAAATCCGGAGAGGCACGCAGGTGCGGGAGCACGCATGCATGTGGCCACACATCTGCTTCGAGATTGGTGAAGTTGTTTCGCCTTAAGCCCGTTAATAAATGTATGTAGGGTCCATGCATGCATGTTTTTGACAGAGTTGCATGTGTTACTCATCCCATCTCTCATGCTTTTTTGTTTTATCTCCAAATTTCAATATATTAGATATTTTGAACCAAAATTCAAATTAAGATTCGTTTGCATATTTGTGTTCATTGCAACGAATACTTTCGAACAAGGCAGCTTTCAAATACATCTTCATAACTTCTAAAATTTTAATGTGTTCCAAATAACGTAAGCTTGATAGTCGCAATATTATGTTTTTATCATGTTATGTTTTTCGGGTTTAGGAGTTCGGACTTAGGGTTTAGGGTTTACAGTTTAAGTTTTAGTTTTGAAACTTGGTGAATTTATCATTCGTTCCTATCAAGTTTTAGTAGTTGAAACTTGGTGAAGTTTTTAAAACTTGTCAAAATGTATTCAAGCTGGTCTTGTTTCAAAGTCATCATCATCACAAGGAGCACAAATATGCAAACAAAATTTCAATTGTACTTTTGGTTCAAAATATACAATAAATTCAAATTTTAAAGTCAAAAGAAAAAGCAGAGAGGTGGGGAAGCTACCAAAAGCTATGAAAAGTTGAACGCATGGGCCCCATCTAAGGTAATTAAGGGTTAAAGCAAATACAAAGATCAAACCAATCTCCAAATTGTGAGGAAATCTGATGGTCAAAAATATGTGTGCTCCCACACCTACGTGTCATGAATCCTCTCACCGAGAGAGACATGGAAGGAAGAGCTTGCTATCGTCGACACAACCAACATGGATGAGGACTTCAGCTTCTATCTTCATTTGACCAAGCAAGGCATGGACGCCTGGTTGCCACCCAAAACACCCCTCAAGGAAGGGGCGGGGTGTTGATCAGGAACGAGGCGGTTTTATGCAATTTCAGATGAGAGCATTACGCTCTTGCCGAGGAAATACAAATGTGCACACCTTGGCAGAAGAGGACCTGAGTAAGAAAAGACTAGAAGCAAATGATACATCTCAAATGTTCTATACTTTTTTTTTATTGTTTCATGCTATTATATTATCACTTTTATATACTTTTTTTCAGGCAACGAAGGACCATGGAAGTTTCGGGGGAGATCGAGAGGAGCTAAGGGGGCCACACAACCACTTGGAGTGGCTAGGGGTGTAGGGCACGCCCCTAGGCAGTGTGGGGCCCACCTGCACTATCTTACGTTGATATCACCGCCATAAATTCCTATAAATACTGAAACCCTCCACCATATTTTTAGAAGAATTTTATCACCGTCGCAAGTTCCTGTTATGTGAAGATCCAATCTGGAGGCATGTTTCGGAGCTCTGTGGGAGGAGGAATCCACTGCCGGAGCCCTCTTCATCAACCTTGCTGCCTCCATGATGATGTGTGAGTAGTTACATCAAGATCACCTTAGGGTCCATACGCTACTAGGGAAAAGCCTAGCAGCAGCGTGGGTTTTGGGCCTCTCAGTAGTGCGGGTGCCGGCGCTACTAATAAGGCGCTACAGCTAACGTATAGCAGTAGCGCCTGTTGTCCCACGCTACTGCTATACATGAATAGCTGTAGCACGCTTTAGGAAAAGGCGCTGCTGATATTATCTGCAGCGCTGTTTACAGGAAAGCGCTACTGGTAAGGCGGCGCTACTGCTAAATTTCCCCCCTCACTACTACTAGTTTTATTAGTTTTTTTCCTGCATATTTGTTTTGTATTTGAAGGCTTTATACAATAATTTTTAGCATATCATACACATACAAATGTAATCATAGCATATACATACAATTAGTCTCATCAAATCATGTCATCATCATAATCATCATCCAACACAAAGTGGTCTCTCGTCATCAATCTCGAAAATAGCGATACAAGTCTCGATTACTTGCAAATACATCGTCATCCCTCTAAACAATGATATACGCGAGAAGAGCTATCACTTTGAGTACATGAGTTTGTATCCCTCTCTCGCATTAGTGTGAACCTAAACTAACTACTGCCTGTCGCTCGGAAACCGGAAATTGGTACACCTGGGCCCGACACTCTGGCCACTTGTCGTATATATACTCCTGGCGTAGCACTTCTTCGCCATCTATGATCTATGCACCTGCATCGTCACATGAGTCGATGATATGCAACATATATAGTTGAGCAACAGAAAGAGACAGACTTGACAAAAATAGAAACAACATATCGTAAGCATAAATAACAAAGTTCATCGTACCCAAAATGCCCTAACTAGAGTGACTTTCGCTAGTCGAGGAGGAGGACGGTTTAATTACATCACAAATAAAGTTTCACCGTGCATAACTCAAAGTTTTGTCATACAGAAAGTATGGACTAAATGGACACATTGTCATATATCGACAATCACTCCAACATGTCGTGCCATCCATCAATGTCAGGGAGATAGTCCCCGAGCCTAGTGAAAGGCTTCAGGTCGAGACGCTGAGCGGCTACCCATGTTCGGACGTCTTCCCGCGACATTTGTCCTTCTTCGTAGAACATCCCTGTTTTTCCGACGACCTCCTTAATGATGATTTGGGCAAGTTCGCGCTGGATGTTATAGAACTCAGCTCGAAGTCGATGATCCTCGATATCTCCTATGTCCTTTGCCCATTGCAGAATATGGGCATCGCCAGATCTAGGTGACATGTGAAGGTTCTGGTGATCCCGTCTGTACTCCAGCATGTGGTGTAGGACATAGAATCCATCATTAAGAGAATCGTTCGGTTGCTGGATGCAGCAGAAGTCGGTCTTATGGCTGAAGGCGAACCTGCCGCCCCTTCTGTTCTTGTCCCTAACCTCTCCACCCCTTGCTTGGTAGTAAAACATAGCACTGTTGAGAACATCTT